AACTGTTTGGCAACTTTCTCAAGAATGTTAGATCACAAAATAAGATTGGATATAGGTCTATAATTGACCAAGTCATCTGGGTCAAGAGACGGTTTCTTAAGCAGAGGTTTAATTACAGCAACCTTGAAAGCTTTAGGTACATATCCCTGTAACAGAGATAGATTAATCACATCTAAAATGGAGGAGGAGATCAAAGGGAATACCTCCTTAAATAACCTGGTTGGAACTGGATCTAACATACAAGTTGAAGGCTTAGATGAAGACAATAGTTTTGCTAACTCTGAAAGTTAAAATAGAAGAATGGAATAGAACATCGCCTTATTGTCCCTCAATGGGGAAATTCTGCTGTTTACAGCAGCAAGAAGATAATATAAAAAAATGGTCACACATATATGGACCTTAGATGTATAAGAATAACAATAGTGAAGAGTTAAAAGATAAACAATAAAATACTGCACTGTAAAGTGTTTTAACAAAATAAAACTGCAAACCTGGAGAATAGATAACCAATATACAGCTATGGACATTTTTACAGTAATGGATATCTGAAAATAGCAGCAACATCAGAAATCAGCAAAATGACAGCAGCAGGTTATTGAACTGACTAAGGTAGAAACTGTGCAAAATCAGCATAAATGGAACAACTGACTGAGGTTGTTGGGAACAGTGGTGGTTCTAGAGTCTAACAGCTGCAGGGAGGAAGGATCTGTAATAACGGTCCATGGAGCATCTAGGATACAGCAGTCTGTCACTGAAGGAGCGTTCCAGTTCAGCACCAGCTTCATGCATGGGAAACATTATCCAACAGAGATGTTCATTTAGTTAGGATCCTTTTGTTTCCCACCTCCTCCACTGAGTCCAGAGGGCATCCAATCACAGAGCACAAGTTCACAAGTTTAACTACATCAAAGCAGTCTAAACCCAATTCAGATTCTATGGCTACCTCAGATGCTGCCTCACCTTCCAGAGATAAACCAGGCATAGTTAAAGGGGTGCTAATGATCTTATTTTTAATCTTATTTATAAAGAATCCCGTAAAATCATACTGCTAAGAGCAGGTGGGATGGACGGTTCAACAGAGCTATGGCTCTTGGTGATTTTGGCATCTGGATTAAAAAGATATCTAGGATTATTCTTATTCTCCTCTATTAATGAGGAGAATTATGCTGCTTTTGCTGGCATTTTAACTCATCCCAAAGGTGTTCTACCGAGTTGAGTTCAGGTCTTTCTGCTGGCCAGTCAATTCATCCACACCAGACTCTGCCATCCATGTCTGTTTGGACCTTGATTTTTGCTCTGGTGAACAGTCCATTCGGAGGAGGAAGGGGCCAGCTCTAAACGTTTCCACACAGTTGGGAGCTTGGGATCGTCCAAAATGTCCTGGTCTGCTGATGCATTCAGAGTTGCTTTCACTGGAACTAAAGAATCAAGCCCAGTACCTGAAAAAAAAACAGCCCCACATCATCTCCCTCCACCAAACTTTACACTTGGCACAATCACAAAGAGGTACTGTTCTCCTAGCCCCTGCCTAAACCAGAATGGTCTATCCGATTTCCAGAAGCACAATTCGTCATTCTAGAGAACATGTCTCCACTGCTCTGGACTCCATGCAGTGGCGACAAGCTTTAAAGCATTGCAACTTTGCATTGCACTGGGTGATGTACGGCTTTGATCCAGCTGTTCCACCATTGAAACACCGTCCTAGAAGCTCTTTGTTCTTCATCAGTTTACGTGGCCAACCGCCTCATGGCTGTCCTGCTGTCTTTCCCGAACGCTTCAGCTAAAGATATCAGGATGTTCAGAACATTGGACCCAGAATTCATGTGAGACAGACGGCGCTGCTGGTCAGCTTAGGTGGGCTCACTGGATTCTCTGCAGGAATAGACACTTAGGTCAGTGACTTCAAGACTCAAACGGGGAACGACAATGAGCTTCAAAGCCCCCAACCTGGCAAAGTTCATTCTCCAGGAGCCATGGTCAGAAGATGGGTCCCAGGTCGATGTCAGCCGAAATCAAGGTAACAGCCTGGAAACACTGGACAGGCAAACAGAGAAGAACAGAAACTCAGAAGTCTGTGGGCAGAAACCGGTCAGCAACAGACAGAACAAAATACAAGGAATGCTAGAGTTAGTCTCGCTAGAAGCTAGAATAATCTGGTACCAAGGAGGCTTAAAAAGCAGCAGGAACCAGTGGATCTAATAAGAGCTAATGAGCGCAGGGCGGAGCAAAGCAGATGAGAGCAACAAGGAGTAAAACCCAGCCTATGGTGCCAAGATCATGACAAAAAGCTGACTGTCAAATATAAGGAGAGAGGAAATGTCTAAAATTTCACAGGTGGCATCCTATCACTGTTCTACGCTGGAATTCACTGAGTGACCCATTCTTTCACAAACCTTTGTAAACATTTTATACAGCTGTGGCCATGATGGTGATGGGAACACATGATTCTAATAATATGGACGGGTGAACGAACACTTCTGCGAATATAGTTTATTATTGAACAGCACTCCCTGCAGCAAGGACTTAGAGAATAATTAGAAGTCTCTGACAGGGAGATATCTTCCTTTGCTTTCTTACTGTGTTTATTATCGCCTTTCTAATCCATCATCAACCCCGTCTCCATCTTTAAGGTGACTCTGCTGTCTTTTAAAGTGGACTCCGAGCACACGTTTGTGGACTACATCAGAGGAGGGTAAGCGCTAAGCCACTTTTCACTGAGGAACACTGGTATCTTGAAATTTAGAGCTTTGGTTTAATAAAAAGGAGGACATATCAAATGTAACGCTTCCCTGTTGCTTTCTGTAGCTTGTTTTTAAAGGCATCCATAACTTTCAATTAAATTTAATTGTCAATCATTCTGCTGATATGTTAACATAAGGCTATCCTACGCGCTCGTCCCGTTAGCTATCTTTTTCTGCGCATGCGCACTTCCAGGCGTATAGCTGTGATATATTTTCATCCAGTCAAGCGTGCCTCTCTCAGAAGAGAGAAACCAGACCATTGTGTTTTTGGGAGATTCTTTCACGCGATGGCGTCCACTGAAAGCACAGGCTGCGCTTCCTGCTGATGCCTCGGTTTAGAAGTTTCCACTAAACAGGTAAAATTTGGCTATTTGGAGAAATCCATTTTCATATCACTGTTAGTAAAATTTATCTACCTCTATATTGTAACTTTCCAGGGAAGATAAGTTTATTTATTTTGTAATTTGCATCATTAGCATTTATACGGTGGCCACAGATCCTTATTTACCTGCAAACCTGCTTAAATTTCTACTGCAGCACACACAGATACTAGCATTTCATTTTTATAAATGTTGCAGTAGTCTTATTTGTTGGGGATTGGTGATTAATCCTAGTTAATAGCAGATAAGTTTATCCTAGTGTAAGCTGTGATTAGCGATGCTAACCTCAGCACAAGACCACGCAAAACCTGTTGGGCTCTTTTTGGCATCAAGACAATTATTCTTATTTCCACATCGCCAGACAGGACACTGTTAAAAAAAAAAAAAATTATATGGGAAGGACATGAAAAACTGTTTTTTATTCAACTTTCATTCGTAAAAATGTACATGATACAAAAATGCGGCATCAAATCCAAAGCTTATTTTACTGTGCAAGTCTACCTCCTGAGGTATTATTGAATAAAGTGCAATGAAGAAGATTTATTTTGGATTACAATAGGTTTACACTCTGGTCAGAATAAAGCCTAGGTAGCAGCCTTTAGGATCCAGGAAATGATCTCTAATTTGTCAAACACAGCATGAAGTTATAACTATTCTGGTTATGACGTTGTCCTGGTACCAGAACAACGTAATTCCAAACAACAACATTTCTATATGCAGAATAGCAGAACTGTCTGTTACTTTCTCCCGTCTCCTGGATGTCCTCCTCTGCCCTAAGGTCCTCCTCCTGAACGCTCTGAGCAGGCCTTCCAGGATGTGCATCTCCATGTGTGGCAGCAGGGAGGTGCAGTTTGTGGATGTTGTTGACAGCATTTCTGTCTGACGGACTTCCCACTTTCTTCTCCTCTACTCCAAACCGCTGCCTTGCCAAGTTGTAGGTTAATGTTGTGAGAGTGTTAACTTTCTGCTCGGCTGTCCCAGCCAGTGTGGCTTCTAGAATCTTGTTGAGGTCTTGATCTAGTTGGTTCCATTCCTGGTTATCACTCATCTTGGGCCATTGTATTCGTTCCCTGGCAGGATGTGGTTGGCTCACTGGGTTGGAATGAGGTTCGTCCCTCCTGAGGTCTTGAGGTAACTCAGGTGCTGAGAGATCTCCAGTACTGTGGGGTTCGTCCTGACTGGAGTTCTCCTGCGTCTCACCAAGTGTTACCACTGTGCGCTGCACCTGTGCCCCCCCTTTTCCACAGACGGTTCGGCTCTGATGGATCTTGAGCCCTCTCAAGTTCTTGCAGATTTTTCCACAATGACACTTAACTTCCAATTTCTCTCCAGTTAGCGTTTTTTGAGTAAGCTGTTTCTGTGTCCATAGTTCGTTCCTGGCCGTCACCTTTGAATCAGTCCAGTTGAGTCCCTCATCTGAGACTCTGGGGGTATCGCTCTGTGTTCATTTCTGTAGCTTAAGCTGGTGCCCTCTTGCGAGTGCCGTGCTAACGAGGTTACTAACCTCATAAGGTTGCCAGCGTCTCGCACCCACACCAGTCTTTCCTGGAGGTCATCTGTCTTTCCAGCGTCACCGATCTTCCTTGGTTGCCACCCAGACTTTCCTGGGAGTCACTGGTTGCCCAGAAATTCTAGAACACACATACATCCGAAGATGCTTCTCTTTCATTCACCCTGAGTGAATGAAGCCTTGGCCTGGAGGAATCAATGTCATCAGGTGGCATCCACCGTTTACTGGCTGTTTCAACCCTGAACCACAACAGCCTCCCGGTGGTGGGTC